GGAGATGGCCTCTCCCTCTCCTCACCCATTTTGGGGGAAATGCACTTGCACCCTGGTGTCATTCATTGGTAATGTTCTCTCCTCCCCCCATTCCCTGAGCTACAATAGCAGTGCTCTCTACACTACACAACAGTCCACAGCGAATAGCACACAACCCTCAAAGGTGAGGGAGGGCACAAGACACACTGACAGCTGCAGTGAGTGATGGCCTCTCCCTCTCCTCACCCATTTTGGGGGAAATGCACTTGCACCCTGGTGTCATTCATTGGTAATGTTCTCTCCTCCCCCCATTCCCTGAGCTACAATAGCAGTGCTCTCTACACTACACAACAGTCCACAGCGAATAGCACACAACCCTCAAAGGTGAGGGAGGGCACAAGACACACTGACAGCTGCAGTGAGTGAGGGTGAGTGGTGAGCAGGGCAAAGTGTGTCTCCAGAGGGGTTTGGCTTCCTCATAATTTGAAACTCATCTACTACAGAAACAGAGGCTGGGCATCACTGGATCAGTTACAATGCTGGACGACTCTGACCTGTGGTGTCTGCTTGAGGATGTAGGATGTGTAGGTGAGGTGCTGGGATAAGCCACTACTTGTGCTTTGGGCTGCTCCTGTTCCTCCTCCTCCTCCTCCACTCGTAGAAGAGCCTGACTGGAGATCTGTAACAAGAATCAAAGCAATGACTCTGCAGAGTTCAAGTTATACTGTGCAGAAATTCACTTCTTTCCATCAGCACCCTATTCCTCACACACACCTCTGTCCTTTGCAGAGGCAGCTGCTGAGGTATTAGCATGCACATAGCTTTAAAGGCACTGTGCGTCGCATGCTACCCATGCTTCACAAGTGAGCAGCATCTATTCATCATTTTTCAATGCAGTGGGCAGTGTGATTCTGAGGGTGATATTGTGTTCTCTCACTATGTTCTGGAAACAAACTGAAAGGGAGCACGGCTGCTTGTGGGCACACAGAGGTCTGTTTTGCAGTCTCTACAGCCAGAAGCAGATGCAAACCAGCAATTTAATAGCTCTTTCAACAGCCTCTTGCAGATCATGAATAATAAATGAAATCCTACTAATGACCTGCAAGCTAAGGATTTTGCTTTTACATCAGATACACTTACCTAGTGTTTGCACATATTTCAGAGTAGTTACAGAGTGCTCCCCAATAATTACTTTGCACGGAAAGAATCTAAGGCTGCATTTGAACTCTCTTACTAAGCCACACCGAGAGCAGTGTGACCCCAGTCTTATTTTCAGTCTCTTACTAAACAACCACGTGAGCAAAATGGTAATCGTTTTCCCAGAGAATCATGTATTTGCTTTACCTAGGGCCAGATGGTTTTACAGTCCTTTTTCCTATGGGACTGTACTCAGCCTACCTCAGTCCCAAGCAATGGGTGGGGCTCCCACAAATGCACCGCAGCCAAAAACAGCTAGTTAAAGTCTATTTCAGCACATCCATCCATCCATCCACCCACCCACCATCCCATCCCCCTGCTCTTGGTTATAGGCTCATGTGCTGCACTTTAACTCCTCCTGTCTTCTTGGTGTCAATACCAACAGTGGTCAGAAAATGGGCAAACATTTGGATTTTTTTTTTCCTTTTCCAATGAAAATTTGAAAATCATCAAAGAAAGCAGACACTTTTCTACAAAACATGTCATTTGGTCAAAACCCCCGTTTTCCATTAAATAAAGTTTTGACCAGCTCTGGTCAATACCCTTCATAAACTTGCCCAGTTTATCTTCCCTCTCTTCTCTTCCCCCCCCTCCCCCTCTGATTCTAGGCTCTCTCAGGTGTGGCATAGCTACAATACCTTTATATGATGCCTTTGCCCTTTCTGTATAATTCGGTCCCTTGAGCTCCCTGGTCATTTTTGTTGCCCATTGGAAATTTCCCTCCAGTTTGTCTATTTCTATTAATTTTGGGTTCAAAACTGAAGGGAATATTCTGGGCACCACTGTACCCGAATTAGACACATTATGCAACAACTTTGTATAAGTAGCCTAAGATAGCACTGGGCTTTCCTATAGCAGCCACACATACTGCAAACTATTTAGTCATCAACCTAACTCTCTTAGCAATAGTGCTGCCCAGCCTTTTTCCGCAATGGCTCCGATCCAAAGCCCACACAACTCAATAGGCATCTTTCTATCAACTTCACTGAATTTTGGATCAAATCCTACATGAACATTTGTGTTTTAGATCATTTCCCCCTCAGACAGATCAGTTTGTCTTTTTCCCAAGACAAATTTCCTTTTGTTATTTTCTGCTCATGTTTCCAGTTTCTCTTTCTAATATTTCTCATGAGTTTTTACAACTTCTTTCAATTTAATGTCAGCTGCAGGTTTCAGGAATGTGCTGCATACTCTTTTTTCTGGATTACTAACGAAGGGTTAAAAAACCATCTCACTTGCTGTAATTTTCTTCTTACTTCACCACTATCTGTAGTTATTGCTTTAAAAAAAACAACTGATCATCAGGGGACGACTTAAATAAAAGAGCTCTCATGCATCTCCTCACTGAACAGTCCATGTTTTTGGTGAGCAAAGAACCTTGCTCTATTACTAACTCCCAAAGTACCAGAATAAAAGGCAAAATGCTTAACACATTAATTACAAAATGATTACATTATTTAACGCATTAGATTTCCCTGCAAGACTAACTAGCATTGTTTGTGGCTCTCAGTATGGCTCCTTGAGGTATCAGAAGCAGTTTTCCTTTTCCTGAAGGGTTCTTGCTGTTGGTGGTAAGGTACAGTTTGGTGCCAGGTGGTAAATTTGCCAGGTTTGCCAGATTTGTGGCTGGCAACTGCAGTGTAGCCATCACTAGAAATGGAATAAAAACAGAAAACCGTGTTAAAAATTCAGGTTTGCAGAATATGATTCATAATAAAATCTGGGCAACTGAAATAAAGTTGGAACAAAGGAGTGGCTAACCAATGAACACGGTGCACAACAGTGATAATTCTGTGCTTGCAGCACTTTATACAGCACTAGGTATTTCTTCTGTGGAAGAAAGTTTTATATATAAATTATTATTTATTACTAAACTAGCCCAATTCTAAGATATTTTGCCTACAGCTCTCTTAGCATGTTATTTTGACTAGGTGTTCCCCTCTTCTTCGGAAATAGAGCTGCATTTGGAGTAATACTAGAGTACAACAGCGTTCCAAAATGAATTAGAATCTGAATTTTGTAATCCAAGTTGTAAAGTTACTTTACCTGAACCTTGAGATCCACTTTTCTGAACCCCTGCTGAAGTCACCTGAGCCTTTGTTAAAGTTTGCACAGGTTGGGCAACAATTGTTCCACCACCTCCACTCACAATGGCTTTTGCTACTCCTTGGGTTACAACCTGCTTTGGACCAACAGCTTTTGCTACTGAAGAGCTGGATTTTGCCACAAGTATCTGACCACCACTGATAGCCACAGCTTGTTTCACTGTTGACTGTAAAGTAGAACCGGCAGGAACCCCAACGACCTGTAATAAATAAGCATCTGATGACATGCTTCATGCAGGATTTCCCTGGTACAGCACCTGGAGAGAGTTAACATTCCACCTGGTAGGTTACCCGAGAAATAAGTATATAATTTCAGGGCACTTCAGAAGTTAAATAAGCTGACAAGTTACCCATTCTAAACAACCACCACAATGGGGACTCAAACACATTCAAATATAAACTGAGGCCATCAGTCAGGGTGCATCTACACTGCACCTGTAGCTACGCAAATTGCCATGGCGCCCGTCGGGGCATTTATGTGCGCCCGCAGAATGATCTGGGCCAGCTCTGGCCCGGGCACGCGGCGCTGGCCCCGGGCACACAGCACATGGGTGGCCCCACCCCTGGATGTATGGCACATGGGCGGCCCCGCCCCGGGTGCCCAGCAGTCCCAAAAGGTTGGGGACCACTGGTGTAGGGTATTCACAAAAGTCTGGATTGTGGTTATGCCTGAAAACCAGGAAGCTCTTCAGAAAACATTTGGTGAAAGGCTATATTAGACAAGGATTGTAGCCTAAATTTTAGTTCTAGAAAGTTTTTGTTTTGTTGGTAACCATTTCTCTTTCTGTTATTCTTACCCAATACTCACTGTCTCTATGATGCTCTACTTTTTGTTAAACAATTTGTTTGTTTTCACCATAAACAAATGAGTCACTTACTACAAAGGTTCTGATTCTCTCTCTTTTGGGACAATTAGTGTGAGTGTCCAGTGACAGGGGCTAGATGTTATACAGGAGCACTCCTGGGGTGTTTGAGGCCTGGGATTACTCTGTATTAATCTGCAAGGCAAATATAAGAGCTGGCAGGGTCCTGAGGAGTTTGTTGGGGGGTAGCTAACTGGCTGAATGTCTGGGATCTGACATAGTCCAGTACTAGCAAGTCTCTCTCGCAGAGGCAAAGTGGTAACATTCTGACTAACGGTTGTGGAGAAAGTTTCAGCTGCCTCGTTAAAATCAACTTCAGGCCCAATGTTTAACTCACAAACAGCTTCAGTTTTGTAAGCAGACAATACATCCATGCAAATATTACATTTGTGCACGCACCTACTTAAGCAAAAGGGTAGTTTAAAGAACAATTAACTCATGTAACTACTAATGTATTTTTTTGCTTACATAGGCCTGTGTGCTTGGCAGGTAGATTTCACTGTATACAATTCAGAGTGGATAGAAAGGATGGAATTTAGGCTTTTTAATGTCTTGACTGTTCAGACACTTAGATGCTAAACTCCAAGAATGCCCCAGCTGACCAGAATCAGCCGCTGTTCAGTTTCAGCAGCATCTGAATCAGGGACGCCTGGGGCAGAGCAGCTGGGGTGCTGCCGGGTTGGTCCCGTAGCGCCGCCCCTCGGCACTGTGGGACCAACCCGGCAGCACCCCAGCTGCTCTGCCCCAGGCGTCCCTGATTCAGATGCTGCTGAAACTGAACAGCGGCTGATTCTGGTCAGCTGGGGCATTCTTGGAGTTTAGCATCTAAGTGTCTGAACAGTCAAGACATTAAAAAGCCTAAATTCCATCCTTTCTATCCACTCTGAATTGTATACAGTGAAATCTACCTGCCAAGCACACAGGCCTATGTAAGCAAAAAAATACATTAGTAGTTGCCAGGCGCAGAGCAGTTCCAATTCTCCAGCTGCCTGGAGTACTTCAGGGTTCTTGAGTTCCCATCAGGAGTGCCGGAGCATTGGATGCCAGACCAATGGAGTTTTACTGTACTTATGAAAAATAAAAGAATATGATTTCCCCCTACAGCTGAACTTGAAACTGAATCCTAGTACTCCTTCATGCACGGTCCCTCCGCCAGTCTAAGGCAACAGTACAGAACTGGCTGGTTTCCTACGACCTTCCCCCAGACTGAAAGAGCATCATTGACTGCTGCCTGATATGCCCCTAGGTGTGCATCCAGGCAGTTTAAGACATCAAAGCATTCAATACCTTCGATTGCGTGGTCCCCTCTCCTGAGCTCATGATCTGCTTCTGTGGTGACAAAGCTATCATGTGACCCCCCTTCACAGCAACATATTGGTGCCCTGAGGTCTGTGAGGTTGTCCCAGTCACCGGTAGCTGTGGCTGCTGGGGCAGCTCTCCAGGCTCCTGCTTTATTATCACCTTTTCATAAAGAAAACTGAGTCAAACAAACAGCTTTACTCTCCAGATGAAATCCTGCTCTGCAAGCATCAGTCTGCCCCAAATATGGCCTGCATTCCGGACAAAACCCCAGATCTTTGATAGATCCTTTTCAGCCCTGCTAGATTAAATAAAAGGTGTGCCATATTCATTTAAGTTATGACCTCTGTTACCATAGCTTCTCGGCACCCTGAATGTATCTATGCCCCAACCACTCTTTATCCCCATCTGGGAAACTGAGGCACAGAGACAGAGGCTTCGACTAGACTACAGACTTTTTGTGCAAGAAGCTGGTGTCGGAAAAGATCTTCCGCAAAAACTTTTCGCAAGAGAGCATCCAGACTGCCTGGATCCTCTCTCAAAAGTCAGTAGTGATTGCTAGCGACAGAATGGCCCCTGTGCTTTCTCCTCTTCCCTCTTCTTGTGCAAAAAACCCCTCTTCCCCATCCACACACTCCCTTTTGTGCAAGAGCTGTTGTGCAAAATGGCATTCTTCTTCGTAAAATGAAATTACTTATTGCACAAAACCCCTTCATCTTTCTATTTACTTGCACAAAAACGCACTTGAGGTGTGGATGCTCTGCGAGTTTTTGCGGAAAAATTGCTATTTTTCTGCAAAAACTCTGTAGTGTAGACAGCTTGAGTGACTTGGTCAAGGTTATACAGGAAGTCTGGTGGAGCAGAGCATCACACATGGGTTTCCTGTTTCCCACGCTAGTGCTGTAAACACTGCACTATCTTTCCTCTCTCACCCACGTTAACTTGTAATGTAAAGGAATTAAGGTAGGCACTCATAACTCTGGCCTAAATTAGGCCAGAGACAGAGGCTTCGACTAGACTACAGACTTTTTGTGCAAGAAGCTTGTGTCGGAAGAGATCTTCTGCAAAAAAAATTAGGATGGAAGTCCTTGTCTATCAGATCATGCTGCTCATTCCCCTTTAAGGGGTGAGAGCAGCAATGTCTCTCAACAGATGACACGTGCCACAGGACTCCTTGCCACGTGTTACTACAGTTGATTAAAAAGAAATTGGGATGAGTGACACTTAAGGAAGTAGACTTAAATACCAATATTTGACATGCAGAAATACTGGAGTATTATTAGGTATGGAAAATAGCCAAAGTCTCAAAACATATTAGGCAAGAAAAGCACAACTTTGGTAGATTTGGTAGCACATGGCAGCGGTTCATCGAAGAAAAGGATGAAGAAGATAGAAGGGAAACAGAAAAGGGAAAGAAGGCAGAGGAACTATCAAGCCAACATAACAGAATAGCAGTCAAGACTAATCTGCTGACAGTTGCAAGAGTTACATGAGTTGGGAAACTAAAACAAGACAAGTAGCAGTTGGGCCAAGGAGACACACTTCCAAACTGCTCTAGAAGAGTTACATGCTTTGTGATGGAACTCAGTCTGGAATGATACTATCAGAGCATGCATCCATGTAAAAAGCCAAGAACAGACATCAAATACCTTTGTGAAAGCTCCAAGTCCGCCTGTGACAGATTTAGGGCTTTGCGCCTTAGAATGACTCCCAATTGGACAAAGGGGTGGCATAGTTGCAAATAAAGAATCTTCTTGCTATGAATGAATACATATGGCACACAGTTAGGTGACAAAATGATGACTGCCTGTATTCACATTACTGATAAGTAACTGAGGGCATTCTGGGTTATCTGTACTGATATGGTAGTCATATTGATCACAGGATACGAGACAAAGTAGCTAAAGTATTATGAGAGTCACTGTTTTTATGGCTCAACTTGTAACCCACCCTACCATCTTCTAATCTTTAGTTACCCACTTTAAACAGTTTCCTACAGCTTTTGTGAACCCCTTATGCTTAACCTGTCCCACCTTATATTTAGCTAAACACTGGATACCCTCTACAGACCTCAGAAAAAGCCCTGTGAAGGTCAAAAGCTTGTATCTTCCACCAAAACAAGTCATTCCAGTTAGAGATGTGAACACACACAACAGAATTTTTTCTACCCTTACAAAATTTTATGGTACCAGCATAGCGGAAGACACACTGAGATTTACAGGAAGCAGACATCCATTTATTTTTCTAATTAACTTCTGATTCCTAATGGTGTTACCTTGAAAATGTGTAATTCATTCAATGTGAATGGTGTGCATCTTTGGATTATTCTGATTTGTTCGACAATGCATAGAATTAATTGCTCTCAACCAGTGAATTAAGAATAAACAGTATTAGCACTGTTAACCAGCAGTCAGACTGTTTTTTAAAGAATATGGGGCATGCACAAATCACAATTTAAAATTACTGCTTTACATTTGCTGTCTCAAAAATGTAAAAACTTTTAATTTTATTTCTTAAGAAAAAGGGATATTCAGGATCACTTTGGGACAAGTCTAAGGACTGGCATTCTTACTGTGAAATTACTAGATGGGAATATAGGCTTCATTTTACTTAACAGATCTTTTCACATGTACATACAGGTCAAAATTCCTACGTTACAGATTCTCAGAGATGGACCTGGATGTAAAGGAACATTCTGTGTCTCAATTAAAGAAGAAATCTTTCTAGATTGGATGGCAATTATAAAACAACCTAAACTCAATAATTATTGTATATGCTGAACAAGCTAAGAAAGCTCCAGCAGCCCAAATGCTTCACCAACCACTTTCAAAAGGAGGCATCTCTAATTCCAGTAGCCTGCCAAATATACCCTTCTCTGTAAAGGAAATGGAGCAAATTTTATCTGAAATAATACAGCCCCACACCTTTCCAGCTCAGATCTTATTCATTCTCAATTTTCAATCACTTACTCCACATTTGTCTGTGATACATACTAGGGATGTTAAATTTAGTTTATTCAACCAATCGACTATGGATGGATTTTCCATCGACTAGTCAATTAGCAGGGGAGCTACAGAGGGGTTAGCTCCCGGCCCAGGGAGCTAACCCTGCTGTGACTCTGTCTTTTAAATGTATTAAGAGCTGGTAGGCTCTTAAAACATTTAAAAGGCTGAAGAGCAGCCGTGGGGACCCAGCGTGAGCTAAAAGGCTAAAAGCACAGCAGGGGGACAGCTGAGTTCTGCTCTCACTGGGTCCCCCGCTGTGCTTTAGCCTTTTAAATGTATCAAGAGGCTGCCAGCTCTTAATACATTTAAAAGGCTGGAGCTCAGAAGTAGGGACTCCGCATGAGCTGGGCCAGCTGATTCCCAGCTTGTGCCAGGTTCCCCTGCTGCACACCAGCACACTTTAAATGTAAAAAGGCTGGAGCACAGTGGGGGACCCAGCACAAGCCAGGAATCAGCTGTCCCAGCTCACATTGTGTCCCTACTGCTGCTCTTCAGTCTTCTAACTGTATTAAGAGCCTAACAGCTATTAATACATTTAAAAGGCAGAGCTGCAGCAGGTTTGGCTCCTGGAGCCAGGAGCTAACCCTGCTGCAGCTCCCCCACTTATCAACTAGTCGATGGAAATCTGTTCTTTTGAGGAAGGTAGCTGTAAATCCACTGAATATTTGCTCTTGGCCTGATATTAATGTATCTGTTGTGAAAAATATTCAGAAGTGAGCTTAAAATGTGCACCTCTTCTTAAATCTGATACTATCACCGAACAAGTTAAAAAAAAAGACCCGAGTCTTTTACAGAACAGGCTCTTTGAAAAAGGAGGCATTTTGAGAGTACTGAGATCTGTGCCCACCAAGGATTTCCTTATACACTAGCAAAAGACTGACACTTAAGAGAAGTAATCAATAGGGATGTTAAATTTAGATTAACGAATCAATCAAATAGTTAATGAGATTTCCATTGACTATTGGATTAGTCTATCAGGGATTAGTCTGTGAAGGCACCTCCGCCTTTGAACTGTAGCAAGCACAGAGGCAACAAAGGGGGCGGAAGCAACTAGTCTCTTACACCCTTAGTACTCACAACTCTACCAAGAGCTGCATGAAATTACTCTATCATTCCATGTGAAAAATCATGTAAACAATAGTGCTATGGCAGCTAGAGAGTAATTATTCCAGTAAAATAATGAGAACATGAAGTTATCCAGAATCAGCATTTACAATGTTGAAAAAGTCCCTTCTTTATGGAAAAACTACCCAGCAAGAATGTTACCTTGACAGCTGATGTTACCAAGCTGCTTCCATGGATCTTTGAGACTGGAGATCCGGCTCCATGAGAGGCTTGAGACACACTTGTCAGTTTGCTTGTGGGGCTTCCTGTGTATTGGAAGATACATTTCATGCAGTCTCATCGTAGCCAAATTAGTCCCAGGGTATTCGAGACATAGGGGATGAGAGTGATGCCTTTTATTGGACCAACTTCTGTTGGTGAGAGAAAGAAGCTTTCAGGCTTACCCAGACCATCAAAAGCTTGTTTCTCTCACCAACAAAAGCCTGGTCCAACAAACAATATTATCTCACCCACCTTCTCTCGCTATTGGAAGATGAGAGAGATTTTAGCATAAGGGTTTAGTCCTAGGTACTATTAAATAAATACAGCTTTTCATCAGACAAGGAAGACATGGCATTTCATTTCAGTTAACCTCTCATATGTGCTGATGGGAACAAAACATGACATGACCAGTGGGGATCAGGATGGGGACAAGTTACATTAGTGTTCTGCTAGAGAAGATAGCCTGTCATCAAAAACACCACAAACTAAACATCCCTTCTCTAAAGGAACATGTTCTCGCTAGACAAAATGCTAAAAATCTTTTTCTTCCAATACTTTTGAATATTTAAAAACATTTTTATATTTGCTTCTTCCTGTTTGAGCTGTTTACATTTTGTACCACACTCAACTAGTTTCGTTTTCTGATTCTCAATCATTAGTACAGTTCTGCAACACTTGAGTTGCAAATAATATCCCCTCTGCAGTGTTTATTTATAAACTACTTGCATTTATATTAAAAACAAAACTATACAGATATTTCTACTGACGGCAGGCTTTGTGAAAGCTGGGTTCTACAAAACTTGAACGGCAGTGTCCCTTTATATTACCCTCCCATATGTAGTAAAGATTTTGAACCCCCGATGATGTGACACTGTTGAACCAGTCTTTCCTGACTTCCCATGGAACTTGTGTCCTAAATCAGGGAGCTGATTTTGAAAATTCCACTCATGAGATTATTTTGGATTTAACCAAGAGAGCTCAAAGCCAGAGATAGAAATTCAGCTACTGCAAACATACAATGGTTTCTCACCATTCAATGTTCCTCCCATGCAGTTGTGGGGGGAGGGATGCTTGTTTAAAAAATGTGATTGTTTTCTTACAAAAAAAGAGGAGATATTTTAATGAAAATCTCTCCTTTTTTTCCCCCAACAACATCTGCAGCTTATTATGATAGGCAAGGAACATAATAAGCTGGATGAACATGCTATGTAAGTTCCAAGTGTCACTTTGGGAAGCTACTATATGTATACATGCATTTAGACCAGAGGTTCTTGGTCTGAGTCTCATAATGGACTCACAAGCAGTTACTTTTTGTTCCAACATGAAGGCAAGAGTTTCCAGATGGCTTGCATGGCTTTTCACCCATCTTCTGCAATCAGTACACCTCAGATTTTATTACACCAGTTCCCCTAGCATCACCTCTGAAACACTGCAGGAATCCAGTCAAAAGAGTCTAGGAAAACCAAAGGCCAACCACCTTAAAGCAGCTGAATAAAGGTTCCCAATGGCTTAAAGGCTGATAGTGTGCCTCTCCAGACCAAGTTGACCCGATCTGATCTGAGCTATTGTTTCGATGCAGCTAGAGAAATGCATGCTGGATCCTCCTGTACTGGAAAGTCCCACAGCTGGGTTAAGGACTGTGAGGGAGTAAGTAACAAGCACTTTAGCCATGACAAAGACACAGCTTCCTGCCTTGCTTTGTAGCAGTGTGCAACACTGCCTCACATTCCTTGCTCCTCCTGAGATACATTCATTT